CATCAGGCATTATACTAAGTGTCAGAAATACAGAAATGTGTATGAACGATGTGGTCTCTGACATCAAGAAGCTCATATGGGCTGGAACTGCTGTAGAAAACTTTAAGGATACAGCTGAGCCTCTGAGAAGGGAGAAGATGCAGGTGGGAGTAGATAAAGTAGGAAGAATGGGAACAAAGGCACTGGCCCAGGAATAAAAACGATATTGTGGGTGATTATAGGGAGTGAGTGGGACACTGAGTAGGCTTTATCTCCCCAAGCAGAGAATTTATGTGGGAAGTTGTGAGAAAAACATTGATGGATTAAGGAAAACCTATGTAATGACTTGGAAGGTTAATAGAGGAAACAACAGACTAACACTGTTTTAATTCTGAGAATGGACCCCAAAGCAGGTATTTATGGGGCCAGCTAATTTGAGTAGTGGAAATAAACTAGCTGGCTCACGGCAGCACAATTTATTATGAGAATCATTAAGGAACTATTTCACTACACGCCATTCTCTCTGATTACCATAGCTTCCTCAGTCATTTTTATTATCAGTATAGGCCTTAAGGAAGTGCATAAAATTTATAATATAGAAGGCATTAGGGGAAAGAAAAATGAGATTTACTAGGCATTTTCTTAGGTTTTTTTTTTTTTTTTTTTGAGAGAGAGAGGGAGCGTGCTTGGAGGAGGGGCAGAGGAAGAGAGAGAATCATAAGCGGGCTTCATGCTCAGCAGCACGGAGCTTAACGGGGGCTTGATCTCATGACCCTGGGATCATAACCTGAGCTAAAATCAAGAGTCAGATGCTTAAATGACTAAGCCACTGAGGTGTCCCTCTTAGGTTTTTCTTAATAGCAGTGAGTATGGATATGACTGAATATTAACAATGGTGTTCTACAAATTATGTAAATTAGAATATGTTAAGCTGCTTTGGGGAGGCAAAAGAAGTTATTAAAGAATACTTAGGTGGCTGGGGAATGCTGGAAAAAAAAATGCTCCACTCAGACCCAGGGAAGCCAGCTAACAGATAATAAGGGGGGAGGGGACAGTTGCATTTCAAAGTAATTTCGATATGATGAAACTGTTTTAATGAGTATAATTTTACTCCCACGTTGCAGAGAGAGGCCTTTAGTTTATTATAATGAAATGTGTTCAAGATAGAAGATATTGTGGGGCGCCTGGGTGGCTCAGTGGTTTAAAGCCTCTGCCTTCGGCTCAGGTCATGATCTCAGGGTCCTGGGATCGAGCCCCACATCAGGCTCTCAGCTCAGCGGGGAGCCTGCTTCCTCCTCTCTCTCTGCCTATCTCTCTGCCTACTTGTGATCTCTGTCTGTCAAATAAATAAATAAAATCTTAAAAAAAAAAAGATAGAAGATATTGTATTATATATACTATAAATAAAAATAAATAGTTTGGGGAAATCATGGTAAGATTCTTCCCTTCCAACAGTTCTGTTTTCAAGAAATAAGAAATAAATGCATCACAAGATGACCCTGAAAATCACAGACACAGTAGGAAGTCATCTAGACAGAAATTCAGCCAAACCCTTCAGAGTGTTAAGCTGACATTCTTTTGCTAGTCTAACGTAGTTGAAACGTGTATAAGATTTGGAGTCAGGCCATTCTAGACCCAAATCCTAACTTTCTTACTAATTGTCTGTGCAATCCTGCCAACTCTGCCCAACCTCTCTGAACCTGCAGTGTCCACATTATAAAATCAGAATAAGAATACTTACTACACATAGGGTTGTTGTAAGGATCAAATTAAAATAACATGATGCATACAGACTGTTTAACACAGTGTTTTATGGCCCAAAGTGTGGGTGATATTAATATTAGATAGTTATTATTACTGATACTTCTAGTGTTATTATTATTAGTTTACTGAAACAGGAATATGCCAGATTGAACCAGAACACCTATATTTGGGTCCCAAATCCGTTATTATTAAGGATCTCAATTTCTTCACCTATAAATGGCAATACTATGCTGACAATAACATCTGTTTTGCCTAAATCACAAGATTATGGGAAGCTTCAAAGGTAATGTATGTGCAAATTATAAACTGTCAAATTAAAAATATCCCCTTTCCTCTAGAGTAAGTATATACCTAAATGAAAGAAACTCAAGTACAAGGTCATTTGCCTGTACTTACTGCACCAGGAATGTAATACTTCTCACTCTATTAGCATAAAGGGAAAAGGATAGTCTTTCAGTAATGAGGACCTATTGTGAGACTGGGTCTTTAAGAGTTGTGTTAACATATAATATTACTTCCATGAATGTGAATCTTGTAAACATCTAGTAGTATATAATCTACTCAATTTTAAAACTTGACCGTCTATTCAGAAAATGTGAACATAATCAAATGATTTACTAATAAGAACTCCCGCTACCAAGATTAATATGGAAACAAATACACTTCTAAAAAGTAATTACAAAACTGGGATGCAGTTAGGGAAAAGACAAAATTCCCTAAATTTCTGGGCAGCATCTAATTGATTTGGGAAGAATGTCAAGAATTAATTTTACATTTTGCACTTGATTTGTCAGAAGTCTGAGATTCTAAGGTGACAAGTGTTGCTCGTATAAGCAATTACAGAAGGCCTGTTGGTAGCTCAGGGATGTATTTGTGGATGGATGGATGGATGGATGGGAGGGGGGATGGAAACTGTAACTCTCGTTTTCACTAATTTATCCCTCATTCTTATCCTTGGACATGAGCCAGGTGAGAATCATTCTCAACAGATAGAAGAAAGAGATCGAATTTAAATATCCTCCACCTATATCTACTGTCTTGTGATTTTTAAGAGCAATGATTTGGGTTAGAGCAAACTCAGCCTCAGGAAACCAAAACAAGTAAACTGTGAAGAGAATTAAAATATATTTTTTTCTGCTCATAATTAGTGTCACATATGATTCCTTGATGATTTCTTTGCTCTGTTTTTCCCCCTCCCTGGAATTCTAGACCATGAGCAGGATATCATAGAGATGGGGTAGAATCAAAGTGGGCACTCCAGCCAATACTGCGCAAGCACTGTCATGACAGCTGGTTGAATGAAAAGAAGTGGACTGGGATTGAAGCACGAGGAGGGCTTTGGTCTTGAGACTGGAAAACAAAAGAAGGCTTAAGAAGGAATTCAAGATGTGCACGGTATGACTCCCCTCCCCTCGCCCAGTTACTTACACAGTACTGGGCGTACATGAAATAGGATTCCACAGGATAGGGTCATGTGTGATTTTTCTATGTGGTAATCAACTAACGTTCTCTACTTCTTTCTATCTGTGGTAATTATGCTTATCTGTTCTATTTCAGTGTAAATCCCCTTCAAAATGGTAAAGCATAGAATAATGTATTGAAAAGAGTTAAGTTCCAAAGAGGAGTTCAAGAGAGGAGAGGCCATATATCCGTGTTTGCTGAAAAGAAAGGCTTAGCTAGCCTCAGAGAATGTGGCGGTTTAACAGTTGTTTTTTTTGTTTGTTTGTTTTTGAAGTGGTTCAAAGATCTGTTTTGTCTCTCTGACTTTTGACATTGAGGATGAATGTCTAAAATGTTTACAAAGAGACACGAGCTAAGTTTTTATTTGGGAAATAAAAAGGTAACAGAACAGAAAGAATTTGAGCAAAAGGATGTACTGATCTCTATAATTCTGGGATAAATAAACACCATTCCTTGGAAATCAGTTTTTAAAAAGGGAAAGGAAGAAGTTCTCCCTCAACTAGGACATGGAAAGGATGATGGAGCTCTCAACTACTTACAGCTGTAAACAGTGTGGGTGGGAAAGAGGCAGTAAAGAACAGCTAGACCCTGTGAAGTTTCAACAAGAGAAGTGGGCGTCTAACAAATAATAAAAAATGCACGACACAGCTACGAAAATAGGCATGCGTATCTACAGGAAATAGATGGTGCAGTAAAGGAGAGGTAATCTGCACAGAGGTGTGCAGAAGCAAAATCGACTACTCAACAAGAAGGAAATGCCACCCAAATACGCTATACCAACATTTGCTTGAAAAAACAAAACAAACAAAACCCACACTTTGCACCAAACTCTCCCAATGAACAGGTGTCTTGTTGAGAGGGAAGCAGCAGCCTCGCTGGGACTGAAGGCATAAAGGGGCAGAAAGTTGTTCCAGTGGAAGCTCAGGCTCCCACATGATGAGAGACACCTGCTTCTTCCTTCCACCCAGGGCTGAGTGAAAAGAGCAAGGCTCTGGAGGTCGGGGAGAAACAGCAGCCCCCCTCAAGTAGACCTTCCTTCAGAGCTCAGGGAGTCTGCAGTTTCTGAAGGGCTTGAACAGGAGAGCCTCCGCCTGCAGCAGGGTCTGAAAAACACCCGCTCCTCGCTTCTCTGACCAGCCTGTCTTGGCTCCTCCTCTGTCTGGTCTCCCACTATCTACTGAGTGTCAGATTTTTCTGTTTATAATTCCTGCCATAGGTTAAAACATATAAAAAATAAGGTTGCATTTGCAGCTCCCTAGAAAACAGTAACATGTAAACGAAAATTGGAAATTGTTGCTTTAAGTTCGCATTTAAGAACGGAAGGATCACGTGTTACCAATGAATCAACAGGGAAACTGTTCCGAGTTAGAAGAAACAGCATCGGAAGGGCACCTGGATTAACAAGGACGAGGCAGATATCAGGCAGGACAGGAAATCCTGGTAGGATGGAGAGGATGCCATACTCCACGTCCTAAAGAGTCCATCTCTGAAACCATCCCACAGAACAAAGATGTTCTCAAGGCAAAAGCGAATCTTAGGGAATTTTATAGATGAGATGTGCTTTCTTATTGCTCACATGTAACATGTACATCTAGAAAGACGTGAATCTAAATTTTTGAAAACAAAGACATAAAAAGTATTTTTTGAAATGAAGACCAAACTTTAGATGAATCCCATGAGCCAGTGAACAATCATTTCAAAGAAACCCAAGGAACTAGGTATTATTATTAAAAATGTTGTTCTTTTACTCTTCTACATGGTTCGCTTTCCGGTTTACATTTTCAAAAGTTCCTTACCTGGGCTGACTGTTCACCATTTCATGTTTTCCATTGAAGTTCAAGCCGCAGAGGTTCTTTGGTTTCGAATGTGAAGAGTCGGGTTCCAAATTTGCCTGTGTTTGTTCTCTCAGACGATCATGAAGAGTTGCCTCCTTTTTCAGGTTCATGTCTGAATACGGGCAGCCAAAAGCACTGGTTTGTATAAAAACGAGCGTACAGTTGTCAGTTTACAGCAGTTGACCAGGAATCCACCATCACGGGGACAGACTGACATCCAAATTTTAAGAACTGGAGGGAGGCCTTCTTCTTCCACTGAGGACACCCTAATAAGCTTCCTTTCACACTGCCCTTCAAAGAACTCTCAAGTTCCAGATCACAGACACTGGTTCCAGAGAATGAAAGGTATAGTCATCTGCTATAGACATATAGTTTTTACCATTTTGGAAACCTAAACATCTAAGAATAATGTAATAATGTGCTTCTGGGAGAGCAATGGCAATGTTATATAAACACTTGATTCAAAGTTTGTATCTTCTGATATGTATGCCCTGATTTGATTAGCCACATCACCAGATAGTATGGGCCATGAAAAATATTCACCATTATCAGAGAATATTATGCTTTTCTTTCTCAACGTTCATGTATCTAGAAATACTGTATCTGTATTTCTGCTTAATTCTCCTGAAACCTGCTAGAAAGTGTTGTGTTTGAACGTGAAGGAACACCTGAGATGAAAGGGAGAGACCATAGCAAAGGCTGAATCCTCCATCTTGGATGTTGTTTGGAGCCTAACTGGCAATGAGCTGCTACGACACATGATCTGATTCTTTCCACAGACTGGTAGTCTCCGTCGGATTTCTGTGCCTGCAGCCCTCTCTCCAAAGCAGCCCCAAACCTCTGCTGTTGCTTAGGAGTGAGGGAACCACTCGCAGGGAAAGCCCAGGGGTGACGGGTCAGCTGCAGGCAACCCCGGGGGAAAGTGTTTCATTCTCAAGCTTCTGTTTCTCTCCAGTTACGTGGGAAAATCAGATTCAATTCCAAGGGGTGCTGGAACCATGACAAATCTCGCACACGCACACGCACACACACACCCCAACATGGTAGTTGTTACTATTATCATAGTGTTATCATCCTCTCCATCTAGGGAAGCAGAGTCAAATGCATTGATATCTAGGCAGTCTGGTCTTTTTGAGGAATTTGCTTTCAAATACTGTACATTTACTGTACATTTGCTGACATATGATGCATAATAAATTCTTTTTGGATGCATGAACATTTTCTTTTTTTTTTTTTATTTTAATGGCATGATAAAATCAGGGACCAATGCAGTTCTTCCTTTATTTTATTTTATTTTTTAAGATTTTATTTATCTGACAGAGATAGATCACAAGTAGGCAGAGCAGCAGGCAGAGGTGGGGGTGGAGAGCAGTCTCCCCACTGAGCAGAGAGCCCAATGCGGGGCTTGATCCCAGGACGCTGAGATCATGACCTGAACCAAGGGCGGAGGCTTCACCCACTGAGCCACCCAAGTGCCCCCTTCCTTTATTTCCAAGTAGATGGAGTTTGCCAAGGACAGCCCATATACAATCTAACCCCAGAAGGTCTTTAGTATCAACCTATATCTAGAATTGATCTTCTGGATGACATCAGCCTGCCCAATAAGACAGGGTGAATCTGAGCAGGCAGTAGGGAGAATAACTAGCCTTTGCTACACACAAGAGAGTCCTCTCTATATGCATGTTCTGTAATCTGTAATACTTGGTGCTGATTTATTGGTTTATTCAGTTACTGATTCAATAATCCATTAGCTGAGCATCTGCTATATCATAAGAGTTTTAGAGACAATAAACCCAGTGAAGAAGTTAACATATATTTATAAATATAATTTATAATAATAAAACCAAAAAAGCTACCACTACTGAGTGTGTACTAGACGACCACTAAAAATCAAGATTTAACATATATTATTTCTACATTTATTACTAACTACTCAAAGATGATATTGATAGATTTATTGTGCAGGTAAGAAAACAGTCACACACAGGATAAGCCACCTTCCCAAAGTTGCTTGGCACTTTCTTGTGAAGCCTCAAAATAGATCACTTAGTAATTAGCACTATGTGAGGTTGTTCACATCACCGAAAGAAGAAACAGGAGAGAAGTGTGGTATAATTCTTGTGCAAAGAGAAGCCGAGGCAGGTGTTTACAGGGGAGAGCAGCACCCTGTTCGCTGTGACTAATGGCTAGAGTATGCCCACAGCCACTACAGTCCTGTGTGAGAAGCTAAGATGTGATAAAGAACTGTTTCCAATAACAGCCCAGAGGCAGTGAACTGTTTAAGCTGCAGTGTATGAGATCTAAGGGAAATTCTAGAAAGAACTCTCTGCAGATAAAAGTTGAAAGCATGAGGCTATCCTAAGAGAAACTGGGAAGTGTTTATTTCAAGCACAAGTAAGTTTTCATTAAGATACTATGATTCAGAAGCTCTGCTATCCATCTAATACATATTCTCAAATTGAGACTTTTAAATGACGTATTACGGTCATGAATTTTCTTAATTTTGTATCATCCCCCAACCTGATTCGTGCTGCATGGCAATGATGCTCTGTCCCCCAGCCTTATTCGTCCAGCAGTGTAGACAGCTGTCACAGACGCTCTTGTTCGGGACTTGCTTCAGTGGAGAGAAATGTGGGTTCCCTCAAACTTCACTCATCAGTCAGTCCCTCTATTCATTTTGTCCCTTGCCTGTTGTTTCCTAATTCCATTCCAGCCCCTCTGTGTCTCCAGCGGTGAGGAATGGAACACCGGGAGTGTCACCAGGGTGCCACACCTCCTGATTCCACCAGGCAAGCCCGGTGACACCCCACCTCCAGGCTACATGGATCGGAAGGAAGTGTGAAGTGCAAAAGAACATATTAAACAACAATACCAGGTGTGGCCTGCTTTGGTGAAGAATTCGAAAGATGATGATGATGGGACACAGAAGTACAAGAGAAGAGGTGATGTTAACATCTCAGCTAGAGTAGTCTGCGCCCTTTCCAACCTGCCACCGTGCCATGAACACATTTCCGTACTGCGACACGGTGCTTACTTGTGCTCTTTGGAGAGAACACTGTTGTGTGAACGATACGGGATCCTTGACTTTGGCCTGCCTTTCTGCAAATGCAGAACCTTACTCATGTGCTTGTGCATGTGTGTACACGTTAAAAACCCACTGAGTTGGGGCACCTGGGTGGCTCAGTGGGTTAAAGCCTCTGCCTTCGGCTCAGGTCATGATCCCAGGGTCCTGGGATCGAGCCCCGCGCATCGGGCTCTCTGCTCAGTGGGGAGCCTGCTTCCTCCTTTCTCTCTCTGCCTGCCTCTCTGCCTACTTGTAGTCTGTCAAATAAATAAATAAAAATCTTAAAAAACAAAACAAAACACTGAGTTGGTTGTCCTGGGTGTGTGTGATAAAACTTTTTATTTTATTTTTTTAAAAAATCTTTCTTTTTTGGAAAGATTGTATTTATTTAATTGAGAGGGAGACTGAGAGAGAGCAGGAGCAGGGGGATCAGCAGAGGGAGAGGGAGAAGCAGACTCCCCACTGAGCAGTAAGCCCAATGTGAGACTTGTTTCCAGGACCTTGGGATCAAGACCCATGACAAAGATTTTTAAAACTTATTGTGGTTTAGCTAAATATTGAAGAGGAAAGGAGGTTCTGAAGATAAAGTCTCTTTAGAAAACTGTTGACATAAGCTGAAATTTCTACAGCCTAACGCTCTGTTGGTCAAGGCAAAATGTCAGCTTCTGACTGATGGGAAAGTAGTACATTCAAATTTGAGCTTATTAGGACCACGATAGAAGGTGTAGAAACTGTGGGCTGAGGGGGAAGCCCTGAGCAGCAGTGTTGTGTGGAAGACATGGTTTCTTTGAATGAGCAGACTATTTTCCTGGCCCTCCTTAGTGAAGGGGGTGTTTGCTATGTGCAGATGTGCAGGAAAAGGAGGAAGAGAGCGCAGAAACTAGTCAGTTGACCCATATGAAAGTGTAGTTTCTTTCTTTTTTTTTAAAGATTTTATTTATTTATTTGACAGACAGAGATCACAAGTAGGCAGAGAGGCAGGCAGAGAGAGGGAGAAGCAGGCTCCCCGCTGAGCAGAGAGCCCGATGTGAGGCTCGATCCCAGACCCTGGGATCATGACCTGAGCTGAATGCAGAGGCTTTAACCCACTGAGCCACCCAGGCGCCCCAAAAGTGTAGTTTCTAAGACAGACAGTCGACTATCTGAATTTCATATGGTTTGACCAAATAATTGGTAAAGAATGTCAGCTCCAAGCTCACCAATAGCACCAAGGCATATGAACAAAGGGTAAACACTAAGCAAAGCAAAAAGTACCAGATAGTTGCAGACAAGTTTTAAAAGAGATCTTCTAACAGATCTAAAATCGTGGTCCTCACAGTCCTCTTCATAAATAGAAACATAAAAATGATGACAATTAAAAAATACTAGTTTTAGGACACCTGGGTGGCTTAGTCAGTTGAGCGTCTGCCTTTGGCTCAGGTCATGATCCTAGGGTCCTGGGGTCGAGCCCTGCATCTGGCTCCCCGCTCAGTGGGAAGCCTGCTTCTACCTCTGCCTGCTGTTCCCTCTACTTGTTCTCTCTCTCTCTCTCTAACAAATAAATAAATAAAATCTTTAAAAATTAAAATAAAATAAAATAACTAGTTTTGCTTTTCAGATTATTTAAGCATAATATTAATATCTGAGGATAAACAGAAAAGTAAATTAAATTTTATTAGTATACATGTTTTTTTCTTTAGGAAAACGTCCTGTACTCCTTTTAAGAGAAGCATTCCTGACTGCCTTCGAGCTGCAATGGTGGAGGGCTGGACACAGCAGAGCCTGGCACCTGAGGCTGAATTGCTGCTTTGTGTGTCCGGCCCAGGATGGCCCTCAGCCTTTGAATTTTCCTTCCTTTTGTGCACAGATTGGTGAGTTTCCCCACATTCCCAGGACCAATCCCGATCTGAGGCCAAAGATAATTTGCTAAACCCTGTTGTTCATTGCAGGGTTCAAAGGTCCCCACCAGAAGCAGTGCCCAGTACTGTCAGCAGTGTTCATGCTCTGTTCATGAGTCTAGGCAGTCTCGTGGGCTCCGGATCTCCTAAAGAGGCACATGCCTCTGTCCTTGCTCTTAAATGCCTCACCTGCT